CCAAGATCATATGATAGGGTCTTAATGGAACTGGGGTCAAAATCGGACCCAAAACAAGCAACGCAATTTGCTCTACTGTTTTCTAAGTCGGTGAGGAGAATTTCTTCAAAATAAATTAAACTTTACTCCCAAGATCATATGATAGGGTCTTAATGGAACTCGGACGATGGGCGTGGCACCGCCCACTTTCAGGTGAAAGCACATATCTCGAGACCAGCTCGATCGATTTAAACCAAATTCGGTATGTGAAATTCCGCTGACATTGTTATCATACTATGTGAAAATGGGCGGACTAAATCTGACTATAGCCGCAACTACTTTCCGCATAACGCAATGAAAAATTCCATTTGATTCTTTCACATTCCAGTGTACAAATTATGAAGCAATTAAAATAACGCGATAAAACTTTCAATGAATGCCACCTCATAGCCAAAAAACTTATGGTACCAAATATGTGCCCCCCGAAAATTACTTTTAACCGAAAATATCAGTTAATGTATGGGTTTCACAATTGAAATTCGGAGACAATCCTTTCCTGACAATGGTATGTCTGTGTATCAAAAATGGATTGAATCGGGTCAATACTTCTCTGAGCCCCCATATACTTAATATAAAGATTTTCGAACTTCCGGGTGCCTTTATACTGCATGTATCGGCTAATACGTCAGTCATTGCAATGAAAATCAGCTAGCGTGTTTTACTCATAAGCGTATTTATGAGCCTAAAATAGATTAAATTGTGCGAAAACTTGACCAAGCCCCCATATATGTAACTATGTACAAATATGTCAGAATTTTCGAACATTCGCTTCACGCCACCTTAATGAAACCAGGACGATTGAGTTAGTATGTGGCGTGATAATAGTTAATAGATAAAATTTGGTCGAACTACCCAACTCCCATATACTACATACTTGTATAACAATTTTCGTTTTCTAACAAACTTAGCCCTTCCTTACTTTTAGATAATAATATCGATTTTAAGTCCCTCTACAGTGTAATTTTTTCACAAAATCGACATTTTGAGAAAGCCGCCATTTTGTCAAAAATCTAAATTTTGACCAGTCCTCCGTTCATTTCCCGTATGCTTTTATATATTATTAATCACAATCCTCACCACTAGACATTTTTTCTCGGAACTAATTACCGGCACACACAGCTTTTCATCAAGTAAATTTTCGACAAAACCTATATGTGACCTGGTCTACGGAAAGGGGGCTTAGATGTCAAAAAACCAATTTTCACTTTTTAGTTGATTCGGATGGAAGATGAGATGCTTTTTCACGTGATAGAATCCAAAAAGTCATAACTTGTTTGAAAGTTCCCTAAAAATCTCTAAACAATTGTTCCGCGTACTCTCGATCATTTCCCGTGGTATCATTGTATGACATTTATTATTACAACAATCTTTTGACAGAAATTTTGTTACCAGCTCCTCCTCCTTTACTTCAACAACAGACAGGTCAATCTTAACAAAAGTTTGTTCGGTATCATCTTCTGCCTGCGATACACATACTTCGTCTTCATCATAATCGCTCTCTTTATTGTTTTCATCATCCTTTTCATGGAAATATTGTCCGTATACGGCACTGAACTCCTCATCAACACTCATGTTTCATTTCATGCGAAATGCGAAGACGATAATCAACAGAAACACTTACAAAAATGTGATAACAGAACATCCGGAAAGAGAGACGAATGAAAACAAGGCAACAGCAGCTGCGCGGTATTAGAGTAAATGTCACTTCTTCAGTGTTACTTTTTTAAATGTTCCACACCAGCAACTTACACGATGAACTATAATAATATTTCGACCAAAAACAACACTTACTGGACGTCCTTGAAGCCTCTGGAAAGGAGAACAATTAATGAGATAACGAGAAACTGCCGAAACGAGTTGCAGCTGTTTCCCAGAAAATTAGTTTTCGCACGTTAGCTCCCTTTTCTTAGACCAGGTCACATATATGTCAGGACATTTTTAGAAATACAGTTGAACTTCCATAACTTGATGTTTTACATAACTCGAGCTTTGAATTGGCAATGGAAGTCGAAGTCTCGCTAACTCGAGGGTTTTTTGTGGATTATGGTGATTCGAGTTAGGGGGTTCATAAACTGCATACATTTTCAAGTCTTTCAAGGTGCAAAGAAATATATTTAAATCAAAAATATATTTATATTGAGTAACGCGGCAAGTCTTTCTATCACCACGTTTTTCTGCACGGCTTCGAACTATAAACAATTTTAACCAATCCATGATACGTACTTTTGCACTTACTACATATTTTCACTCTAAATTTCTTTGACATAGAATTTAAATGTGATAAGCTAATTATTTATGCGCACCGCAGACATTTTGAACCTCAGTCAGATAGACGGCATAACACAGAGCTTTTGTTTGCTTTAGTTGCTAATACGCCAAATTCGAACTAATTGCTAAGCGAATAAAACTTCGGGAATTTCTACATATATTATATTTACACAAACATGTTCAAATATAGCTGTGATAGCGTGTTGCTCCCTAAGGGTTAAAAGGTGCTAGTTCTAAAGCGGATGACTGATAATAACGACAAATAATAAATTGGTGAACCAGCTGTTTGGTCAGTAAATTTGGGCGTGGTGTGAGAATTGTGTGTTAGAATATAACTGTACTATATATAGCTATGTTGAGAATGAGACATGGTCGGACATTAGTAACAAAACTTTCTTTCGAACTCGATTAGTGATTTAAAAAGTCTAAACACTGAGTTAGCTTCGAAATACTTTGAAAGATGTCTGATGGACAGCTGCGAAGTGGACACAAGTGAAAAAATTTGTAATAAACTGACATGTTTGACATGTCTGATTTCACCAAATACACCTAATGCTTTGTTCCACTCCAAAAAAAAAAAAAAAAAAAAAAAAATTCACCATTTTCAACGATTTCGTCCACGAATTACATTCCAATCGAATTGAACTATTTTTCACGGTAAAAATGGAAAAAAACATTTCGTCGCGGCTTAAGCAATCGCAGAATGTAAATGGATCGGGACTGATCACATTTGATGAGAAAACAGTGGTAAAGTAGTACAAATTCGTAAAAAGAGAGAGAAGAAATTAATCAATGTCTTTGGATCTTTTTTACAAAGATTCGTTTTTTAATAGAAAATGAAATGTCAGTTTATCCATATGTCGAATTATTCCCATTTGAACATGAAAACCGATAAAAGAGTTTTCTAAAGCCAATGCCAATTTTTAAATAATTTGCCAATAAAAATAAATAGCAGCCCTCGTAAATGAAATAAAAATAAACCTAGTCGTGTATTTTTCATCATTCTGCCTTATTGGTAGAGTTACTGTTATCGAAGCTAAATCTCTAATAAAAACTTAAAATAATCCCTATTGGAGGGAGGGTTTGATGTTTATACTATATAAATGCTTCTGTCAGGAAATTCGTTTGTTTATAGGGCTTTTATAATAAATCGCTTGAAAAAAACCTAGAGCTAATTTTTAGATTCATGGGATAGAAATATAAGGAGGAGTCGTTATATTTATAAGAAAAGGTGTTTTATTCAGGAAATGATTGTTAATCTTCCTTTAAAGTAGAATTACTCTTACCAAAAAGTAAGGCCGTAATGAAAGCACAAATGAAAGCTTTAAGTCATCGCAAAGCTCATATTTTGACTACTAAAAATATTGGAACACTTATTGTACAATCAAATATTGCATTGAGGTCATTTTGAAGGGTTAAAATATATATTTTTTTGTAGCCTTGAGCAAATTTATAGATTCCAGCCAATGAAAGTCTAGGTCATCACAGAGCTCATATTATATAATTAAATATTGCAATAATATCACATGGAAGGGTCAAAAGTTGCTTTTGTCGTGTATAGATATAAAAAAAAGAGCATTGCATTTTTTCGGTATTTAAAATACCAAACGTTTAGTGCCTAGTTATTGTAAGGTATTTTCCTTTTAATGTGACGTCTTTTATTTTTGGCGTAAAAACTGAAAACTGTATACTGAAAACTGACAGAATGTCTTAAAATAAGTTTTGATTTGTACAATTTCCGAAAATGTAAAGACATATAACCTGTAATCTGTCTGTGTATATTGAAAGAATGCTTCATTCTCCTGGAATTAAAACCATATGCGGAATGAAATTTCTAACAGATAGATGACCTTCAAAATATAATATTAAGCTTTCAAGCAAACTTTCGAACAAACTTTCGAACATTATACCATATTATTATATTAAGTAGTCAGTAGTCCCACAGTTTTTGAGGTATTGATTTGAAAATTTGCACAAATTCTTTTTTCCCTTAGCAGAACCTCTTTTGTTGCGATCGTCGATATGCTGCCACCAGCGGACCCATCGAAAATAAGTCCTTCTATGAAAACGTTTTATTTGACATTTAATCTTCTCGAAATTGGCTATAGATTATTCATTGAAGTAGCACCACAATCGCCGAACATATTGTTCAGATCGGAACACTATAACATATTGCTGCCATACAAACTTACCGATCGAAATTAGGTTACAGATATTTGTATACCCTTTTATGCTATAAGAAATGCAACTGTGAAGGCTTCGCTGCAGTCGACTTCAATTATTTTTCTTATTTTCTTGTTTTCCCATACTTTTAACAAAAAGTCAATGAAAACCAATGCCAAATTGTGAATTCAAACTCATTTAAGTTACACATTTGTAAACCAAAATCTGAAAATTCAGTAAATCTAGCCAAATTTTGTGCCCAACACACTTCACTTCTTAACGTGCTGATTTTGCGCACACACTTCCTAAGTTTCCACATGCTGCACATATAAAACTACGTGTTGACAGCGCGGCAGACACCAGTGGCCACTGGCGGCGACACCTTGAACCTCATACAAAACCAAACGGTCGCTGAACCAATTAAGTGCCGCTTTAGTGAGCATTCGAGTGTAGACCACAGCAGGCTCACTGCGCAGGCAGCGAATCAAACACCAACACGCACACATATGTATAATAGTAGTTGCACTTACCGCAGCATAAGTGTGTATTTGCTATTTTTTGTCGCTTTTTTGCGCGCCAAAATGATCAGCGCCAATAAATTGCCAATAACGCCGAGCAGCAGCACAATGCCGCTGAACAAGAAGCGGCGCCGATTGTGATAGAGCGCCAACGGTTGAGCCACAATGCTCGGTACTGCAGTCGAGCTGACATTCCAAGCGAAATCATCGGCCGTCGTCGCCGCCGCCGCCCCGCTATCGAGTGAGATCAAAGATAGAACGCTGGTGTTCGCCATAACGGTTATTTGTATTAGTTATATTATCTACTATTATTATTATTATGTGTTGTTATTGTTTTCGTTAACAATTTTTTGTTTGTTTTATATTTGTATCGTTTTTGCTTTCTTTTTATAATTGTTGTATTTTTTATAACTGGTTTTTATTATTGCACTTGCTTGTTTGACAAAAATGCGTCGCGAAAGCAGATGTGTCTGTTCTCAGCCGGGCGTATACTTAATATATAGTTTGTTCTCACTTAAATATCTCATTAAATATGTACGTACATAAATCGTTGTTGTCGTTATTTTTGTTTTTTATGACAACAACAACAAAGTATAGTGAAGCAAAGCACAAAACGTTCAACTGCGATGAACGATCACCTTTGCGCTGCCGGTGAAAATTGTAATTCACAACCACTTAATTGTTGTTGGTGTTGTTAAATATATTTTTTGCGTTTTTCTGCAACTTGAGTTTATTTTTCTACATTTAAAATTTTAATTTCTTTTTTTATTTTTTTCAAGATTTTACAAATTTTGATTTTCTTGTTTCTTTTTTTGTTTTTGTAAATACATTAGTTGTGGTTATTGCTATTGCGCATAAAAAATTCAAATCCACTTAAATGCCAAATAGCTTAAAAATAATTTATTGGCTGCTTTATCGAAGTGGCGTTGCACTGGTGGAAGCTGCCGGTGCAGCATTGGTGCAAGCAAAAGTAAACAAGTTTCGCATTACTTTTCTGCTGCGTTTGAGTTGTTTTTAATTAAAATAAAAGCATTTTGCGCCAATTGCACAAAATTATTTTTTACACTGATTTGTGATATGCTTATAAAAGCAGTCCAATTAAAATTTTCGATTGCGAAAAAAATTTAAATTTTCGCCAATAATTTTTTTTTTTTTTAATTTGCGTCAAAAAAATATTTTATTTAAATTTTCACCAAATTTTTTTTCCCATTAATTTTTGTTTTCAATTTTCGCCAATAAATTTTTTCCAATTTTCGCAAATTTTTTTTTTTTTTTTTGAATTTTCGCCAATTGAGAATTTTCAATAATAACTATTTCTTTCAATTAAAATTTTTATGTTCTCAAAAAATATATTTTTTTTTTCGCAGCAAAAGTCAACTTTGCATAAATACGCGTCGAATAATCGATTACTCGTTGTAAACAATTCACTTGTACAGCTGTTTTTTGCGCACTTGAAATTTTTTACATCCAATCGTTAGCGCGGCTCGTGGCATACTGTCCGAGCGTGTGCCACTGGAATGCCTTAACTGCCGGTAGCGGTAAGCATAAAAGCTGCTGGAGCTAATGCGATTGCATGAGTCCGACACCGACGCCGGCCGACAGCAACAGCGCTAACAGCAACGCTGAACGCGAACGCAACGCCAATGTGGCGCAGTCACTTGATGCCGAAGTGTTCAAACGAAGCTCAGCCAGCTGTGATAACGATTACGAGCGCGTGTTTGCGTAGCGAAGTTGCTGCGTAGCATGATAGCGCGCGTGGCGACGTTGGCGTCGACGTCGACTTCCATAGTAGTATTTATATATTTTTGTATTTCAATTAAGGTAGAATGCTTTCATGTTATTATTATACTTTTTTCCTGGATTGACAAAATATTTTTTTTACCATCAAAACCAAAAAAAAAAAAAAAAAAAAAAAAAAATTGAAAGACGAGTTTGTTCGACATTTTTTTAAATTGAAAGACGAGTTTGTTCGACATTTTTTTAAATGGAATCAGGGCTACGTAATGTAAGTATTTGAGAGGCACAAAGTTTTCAGTGAAGATATTGAAGTCACTAAAAACTTGCCTTCGACATCTTGTAAAGTTGATAACATTCGCAGCATGACTGAATTTTTGTTTAAACACGAAATGAAAGTCATCCCCACAGATTCGCTCCCTGTGTAGTTTTTCTGTTGTCGGAACTGAAATATTCACACGGGGAACGCGGCATTAGTTTATTGAAGTCATAAGTAGTCAATCGCTGAAGGTACTGAAGGCTTTCTGAACCAAGGTTTATAACAAGTGTATGGAAAGTTGGAGTAATCGTTGGTCGCTTTTATTGGCGATTATAAAGATTTTCATTGAAATACGTAAAAATGAAGTTTTTTTGTCCCAGTCAAATTTGAACAGATGGTACTTTGCTATTTATAGTTCTTACATAATTGGCTTTGAAATTCAAGAATGTTACATTTTTCGTTTTTGTTTTGCTCGTTTTGCTTTCATTCACCATCAAATTAGTATTTTAGTTATTAGGAAAAATTGAACTAAGGCCCAACAAATTTAACATGAATGATTTAATTTATCAATATTAGGTAAAGAGAAGGTACTTGTCTGAATTCCCAATTTAGTATCACATATGAATTGATATTTACTTTGAAAGACGGACAATTATTTCTTTTTATTATCTGAACATTAGTGTCAACAACTTCATACCAATCCCATGAAAGTTAGCACAGAATGAGGAAAATACGATTTTGTTTTAGATTAAGTAGATCGTATTTTATTTCATAATCTTAAAGTAACGTTATCAAAAAAAATATTTTTCTCACCGGTAAATATTTCTTTATAAACAATTAAGGCCGAAATTTTGTTCAAAAAAATTTTAGAAACCGCTATTTTGTCAAAATGTTTTATTTTGCTTATTCCTTCTATTAGTTACTAGATTTAACAATACTCTAACGAATTAGGTTTATTTTCTTAATTTCAGAGGATCCAGTACGGAGATATGGTGGTCATCGCAAAACGTGTTTTTTTTCGAGAATAGCTTCCGGAGTTCAGCTGTAGCTCCTTTGAAAATAAATATTTTGTCTAATACAAAGTCTTAAAATACAGTTAAAATATACCATAATATCTGCACAAATTTTTGGATCTACAAGGCATCAATAAATTCTGGAAGACTTGCTTTTTTCGGTCTTCTAACTGTATATAACCCATTAAGCCTACTTAATGAAAAGGTGTTCTTGGTCCATACTTTCCTAGTGGGGATCACATAGGATACATATGTTTATATTTGCACAGTTATTTGAATAAATCACTAGTTCTCATTGCTTCGTGCATAAATTTTGACAGCCTTCAGCTTTTTATGAGTGTCCAATTTGTCGCTCCTTATGTAGGCACACAGTAAAAGGATAGTTTTGCCAAACAAGCGGCTGACAAAAGAGCAGAAATCGACAAAAAAAAAAATGTGCAGAGAAAAGGCCGGCCGGCAAATTTGTGGGCTCACTCATTTGTACTACGACTACATATGTTTTTATAGAGAGGTGGATGTATGAGTAGGCGCACAGTCACCGCCAAAAGCAGTGGTATATATATATATACACATTTATGTATATATGTATATATACATATATACGAGTATATAGAAGCGTTTGCAATCATTGATATGCGTCAGTATTTACAATAAAAGTGCGGCAGCTTTCATTCATATGAAAGCTCACAAACATCCACAAATATACGAGTAACATACATGTATATAAGTAGATATATATAGATATTTCTGTCAAATTTGCTTATGCCTGTGTGTAAGTATAAGCGTTTATCTAAATTTCATTTGATATTTGAGCCCGTTTTTGTTTTCACAGCGTGTGCCATGGCTGCGTGTAACCCGTTTCGAACCCTTGTCAACGTTGACCCCGTTAACTCTAGTTAATATGTGGTGAAGGTTTATTGGTCCCTTTTTTTCCTCTCGACTTTTTGCTGTCACTGCTGCAGTTGATTGTTTGCTAAGAAGAAGCTAATTAATTGAAATTGTTCTAGAAGTGCAAATAAACAGTTTTATGCTTACAAATACCATATATATACTCCTATGGGTGTGGGGGTTAAATTATGATAAGTTAGGTTTTTCGTGGACGGGGGGTTTTAAAATGAAATTCAAAAGCAATGCTTAATACGATTAAGTTCGTCAGTAAGGGTATTTTATTATACCGGGAAGAAGGAAACATCGTAAACTCTATAAAGTATATATATATAGTAAATGATTCTGGTGAGAGGTAAGTCGATTTAGCCAGTATCCATCTGTTCGTTCGACTATTCGTCTATATATAAACGAACTAGCCCCACAGTTTTTTACATAACGGTGAAATTTTGTACCCGGCCTCTCCCAAAGAAGCTGCTCGCTTGTCAGAACCGCCGATGTCGGACCACTTTAGCAACTAGCTCCTATAAAAACTGTCTCCTGAGCCAGCACAAGAATTATAACGGTTCGTCATTAAGGGGTTTCAAAAAATAAATTTTTTTATTGTCTTATTAAATTGTACAACACCTACACCAGAATATTGTCCGAGGTTTCGGAGATACTGCCTTGAGAACTTGGGCACTCGAGGCTATCTAGGCTAAGTGCGCCGTCTTTATACGTGTCTTTCCCGAAACTGTGAAGAACTGTTTCAAGTCGTTTGACAAGATTTCTCGAGAACTAAAAAATCGAATATCATGAAATTTTATGCAGATGTTTGAGATACAATCCTCTAAGACTTGGACGAAGGTTTTATTTTTTTTTGATTACAATATGAAAAAAAAAATGTCTGCCAAATATTTAAGTTTCTTTTATTTTATTTTTTTTATTTAATTATTTTTCTTTCTTCCGAGTTCTAAGTTAAGATTTTAACTAAAAAACGTATTTTTCACTTTAGAGTTATCTTTCCAGGTCCCTCTCCAGCTGGTCGTTCCAACAGAGTGGAGGTCTTCCTCTCTTTCTGCTTCCCCCGTCCTGTACTGCGTCGAGTACTTTCAGAGCTGGAGTGTTTTCATCTACACTATGCCAATGTCCTCGTATATCTCGCACATAAATCAGCCATAATCTTCCGCAGAACCTTTCTCTCGAAAACTCTTCGTCGACGCAGCAGATGTTGTCTTCGTCCATACCTCTGCACCATATATAGTAGTGACTTGTAGAATTTGGTCTTTGTTCGTCGAAAAAGGACTTTACTTCTCAATTGCCTACTTAGGCCGAAGGCTGATACCTGTTGGCCAGAGTTATTCTGCGTTGGATTTCGAGGCGGACGTTGTTGTTGGTTTTAATGCTGGTACCAAGATAGATGAAATTACCTACAACTTCGAAGTTATGACTATGAACAGTGATGTGTTAGCTAAGTCTAGAGTGTGACCATTGTTTGTTTGATGACAGGAGATATTTTGTCTTGACTTCGTTCATTACCAGACGTTTCTTTATTGAGTCTGGAGAAAGCAGAACTAATGGCGCAGTTGTTAGGGTCAATGATACTGATGTAATCGATATACGTCCTCGGTGTACGCCAGCAATTGTACATGAATTAGTCCGGGTCAAATTTGATCAGGCGAAAAATCAATGCCCAATTATACTACGAGGAGCGTGACTCTGCATGAGCACAATAGTTTCACCAAATTCAACCTAGTATCGACAAATGCCTTAATATTTTCAGCAATTATCAAATCGTTGTGATCAACACAGTAGTAGTGTAAGACGAAGACTTTGCGACGTTTTCTTAGTAATTGGAGTAGAGAGAATTTAAAGGATTCGAGAGTTCAAGCACGGTTATATCTAAAAGGCTTGCTCTGGAGAAGTTAACAATGAAACTGATAAATAAGTAATAACAACCGTTTTTTAAAAATGAGTTAACAAATTACTTTTCGAATACAGCTTGTACCTATATGAAGATCGCATTTAGAATTAGAACTCTCCTGTCTGTGTATTAATTAGGGTGGTTTTTTTTTTGTCTTTTTGTTTTTTTTGGAAATATTAATTTTTTTCGGTCCCATCATGAAATTCCTTGGAAATACCCTAAAATAAATTCCCTGAAAAAGTGAGCCCTTAATATTAATATTAAGGACTGGACCAAGGCATGTAAAAATTTTCCATTGAAAAAACACGACAATGATTTTTTATCTTTAAATTTCTATAGCTCAGAGGA